CCAGTAAGGGACCATAATATGGTCCTGGCTCCCAGTAAGGGCCCTTACGTATGGTCCTGGCTCCCAGTAAGGGCCCTTACGTATGGTCCTGGCTCGCAGTAAGGGCCCTCACGTATGGTCCTGGTTCCTTTCTAGGGAGCCAGGACCATAAAGGCCTGTTCCATGAAGAAGAGTAGACATTTGATGTTGCAAAGTCGTAGTAGGCTTTACTCTCACAGTGAATTATATGACAATGCACATTCCACGCTTATGGGAGACCGCAGTAGGTTGATCGTGTGTTAGTAGGACGTTTGGGCTCGGCTCCGGTCGTAATTGCGGTCAGATACATCCTCAGATACATCCAGGAAAAGTCCTAGTGTGAATAGTATGCTCTTATTGTCGTCGTACGATTGTGTTAGTATGTGTACCGTTCTGACCAGCTCGCTCCTTCAAATAGAGAGAGGGTATTTCGATTCTCCGCCTACCCATTTGTCATGCTCAGGCGACAGGCTCTTGCCAACTTCTGCCACTCACCATCTTCTCCTGCCCACAATGCATTGCAATCGCGAATGTACGGTGATCATGAGGGTGCTTGTGTCGGGGGGAAGACGTGTTAGCATGGACTCCGGCGCTCGTTGAGCATGGACTCTGCACTCCTCAAACGTAATCAACACTTCACATTACGTGTCCATGGCGTCAACCGTCGCTTGATCGTCACCTACATCTCACAGCATACATTACGTGTCCATGGTGTCAAATGTTGCTCGATCATCACCCTTTCTCGTCTCATGGCTCAGGTATGGGCTTGGTACCTCAGCTCTTTGCATAAACAGAATGTGTCCAGACCACTGTTTCCATAAACAGAACATGTCCCGATGGCGCTTTCCATAAATAGAAGTGTTTCCGATGCCAAACTGTAGCTTAAGGCATCAGGCATACTGGTCCGGGCTGACGCCAAACTTCAACAAAAGGCGTTTGTGGCACACTGGTCCCACCTTGTCCCACCTTGTCCCACCTTGTCCCACCTTGTCCCACCTTGGTCTATCTGCAATTGTTGATGGCAAGCTTCAGCAAAAGGCATCTCACATACTGAACACAAAGACCATAGAGGAGCGGAGCGGATTGGCGCAGAAGCCTGCACTAAGGACGAACCGCCACTGTTGCCGCGTTCGTGCTTAGGAGGCATGAATGTGGCTGTCCAAATGGCTAGGTTCACATGCCAGCTCAGCATGGGCATAACGTGTGGGGTCTTATGGTACGAACAACCCCACAACACCATTACGAACTCCATCTTAAACCACCAGCACATGCCATACATGAGCCGCGGGCCCCTTTTGGAGGCCGCCCGCCGCCCGATTTATTTTATCGGCTGCGCAGGAGCCTCCAAAATTTTGGGAGATGCTCAATCGGATTCTCAAATTGGCTGGGGCCATGTACTGGTGCGTTAGACCACCAGCACTTGGCCCAGCTATTGGCCGCGGAAGAAAACAAAGTAGAAACGTTTCTAGTCGGATGCATTTGGGCACTCCTGTAGTGGCCCGTACGTTTCCTAAAATCATGGCTTGTTTACCGGTGGTTTAACTAGCAGTTAGAGAAACAGCCGAATTCTTGTACTTAAGCTTGAACAGGGTATGCAGTGCACAATGTGTGTTGTGCAACGAGCCGTGGCATTTCAACGATGGTACACGTTGGGACATCTGGTACTGGGACACGGGACTGGACTGACACGTGAAACAAATTAGACCAATGCCACAGGTTGTCCTTACAGAAACTTTGAGCTTGCCTTTTTGCAACCTCTCCCGTCTTAGTCATCGAGATGATGTCACCAAGACTCACCACTTTGGAACCGTAAACCTTAAAGTTACCACCAGAAAGTTACCACCAGTAATTCCAGAAGTCCCGGCTTGCATGTTGCCAGCCATTGCTACAGTGCCACAACGTTTCCACTTGACCAGATTTATGCCAGCGCCCCACCCAGGCCCGCTCATCCCATCCCAGCACATTGCGGCTTGTATACCGCCGCGACTTTCGGAAGTACTGGTGGCTTTGACCTTAAACCACCAGTACTTGGCCCAGCTATCGGCCGCGGAAAAAAAAAGAGTAGAAACGTTTCTAGTCGGATGAATTTGGGCGCTCCTGTAGTAGTCCGTACGTTTCCGAAAACCGTGGCGCATTAGGAAGTACTGGTGGTTTAAACCCTGTCCGCCAGCCGGGTTGGCATGGATGCCTGGTGTTGCCGAACGTTACCGGTTAACGCTTCCAACCCTAAATCCTAACCCTAAAACCCTCATCCTTAAGACCCTAAACCACTAAATACCTAAACCCCTAAACCCCTAAGCTCTGAACCCAAACCGTACCTGCTACAGTGCCGCGGCATTTCCACTTGAATGAATTTATGCCAGCGGCGCCCCAGGCCCGTTCATCCTAGCGCATTGCGGCTTGTATATACTGCCGCGACTTTCCGAAGTACTGGCGGTTTAGACCTTAAAACCTGCCAACCGCGGTGCCATGAATGGATGGTGTTGCCGGGTCATGCCCTTTACCCGTTGACGCTTCCGACCCTTAATCCTAAAACTCTAGTCCCGGAGGCCCTACACCTCTAAAAACCCCTAAACCCCTAAACCCTGAAACCCGAACCATATACCTGGCATACAGTGGACTCAGGCTGAAAGACTGGGACCTTGGGGTACTGGGACACGATGTGGAACTTGACACCATCCCGATGGTGACCAAAGCTGACGGAAAAACCAACTGCCTTTGGACGACATCCTCTGCACATTATGAAAAAGAGAAAAACACAAAACAACGACATGAACCAGCTTCGGTGCGCAAAAGTCCACTGTACTCGGTGATGATCTCTGTGCAAACTTGGTCCTTCGGACAATGATTGCACTACCGTCTTCACCCGAATAGAATGCCCTCCATTATCACTGTATCTAGACTGAAAGTTGCACGTCTTCACCCGAATAGAATGCCCGATCATTATCACTCTATCTAGACGGAAAGTTGCACCAAATACAGCTATATTGGCACAGCTCAAGAGGCTATTTTTAGACTTGGTTGAATGAACAGCCAAGTCCTTGTCAAACCCCATCTTTTCCGTTGGGAGACGATTAGCTCACAGGATCTGGATGAGAGACTCCTCTGCCGCTCTGCGGTATCGTTTCAGGACATGCGGAGTAAGCAATTTTGGGAACACAAATGAATCCAGATGGTTCACAGCTGAATCCGGATGGTACACAAATAGAACCAGATGGTATACACAAATAGAATCCAAGATACTACCGTAGTACGCAACTGGATGCAGATGGTACACGAAAGGATCCGGACGGTACATGAAAGGATTCATATGGTATGATCGCAACTTCAGAAACATTCGGGACCGGTCATTGAGATAGTGTATCAGTCCCGACAGCCAGACCAAAGGAGCGAGGGGCCGAGAAAAAAAGACTCAGAGACATTTTGAGACTAATGCCTCAGCTAACAGGCATGCTGTACAAGGCCACGAGAGGCAGCAACCAAGGGCACACTCACACTTCTATTTCACCGACTGTACTTCGCTGCTATCACGGCAAGATTCCATGAAGAAACCCATGGCAGAGAGTACGGTCTAAGCTGTGGGTTTTCGTTGGTACTCTTGTTGAAGACTCACAGGTGAAACACCGGGATCAACCAGACTGCACGGCAGCAGTCCTTTTTTTTTTTTTTTTTTTTTTTTTTTGGTGTCTTGCATCGTCAGAGGCGAACTTGCTGAGAGCCTCCTACCATCTTCACCCAAAAAGAGTATTATGACCCTGCATAGTTTGTTTGCAACAGTTTCGACAACATTGCTTGTAGCGATGCGGCGAAAACCCCCAAATTTTTGGCCTTCCATTAACCGCTAGTGAAAAAGAGCGCCCGGTCATTACACCTGAATTTGGTTCAATTTTTTCAGACTAGATACAGCGATAATGACCAAGCAATGCGGGCATTCTGCTTTGGTGAAGACGGTAGAGCCATGATCGGGAGAAGCATAAGTGGGCATTCTACTTCGGTGAAGTCGGTAGCCATTTGCTACTGGCTTGTAGAACAGGAAGCGGACTGGGAACCCCCAGGAGTAGAAGGAGCCATGGCATGAGGGGCTATGCTGCCGCCAACTTCCCCCCTTTTCCCCCATCTCCCCCCTCCGACTTGCCCCCATCCCCCGCCCTCATTTGATGACTGACAAGAGGGGTCTTGATAAGTGAAAGGTGACAGGTCGCTGCATTGGAATTCGGAGAAGCAGAAGCGAGCCTACCTTGTATTTTTTGACTAGCGACTACAGTCTTCCCCCGAATACAACGTACGGTCATTCTAGCCGAATTTGAGGCATCTTTCAGTCTAAATTCAGCTATAATGACCGTACATTGTATTCGGGGGAAGAGTGTAGCGAGAGAAAAATGAGCCAGGCTGGTGCTCCCTAGATTGGAATGAGGCATAGTCATTCCTATCCCTACGAAACTGACTAACGTCGGACTCCTTGCGAAACTGCCGCCTCTATTCACAGTCTGGTGCTCCCTAGATTGGAACGAGGCATAGTCATTCCTATTCCTACGAAACTGACTAACGCCGGACTCCTTGCGAAACTGCCGCCTCTATTCACACATAGCGGATCAACCGCCACAGCGATCGGCACCACCTGACCACAATCTGTATTACCAGCTTTGCTCCGGACTGTCATCTTTCACCCGAACAGAATGCCCGGTCAGTATCACTGTATGTGAATTGAAGCTTGCCGAAATGCAGCAGCTATATCGACCAGACGTTCTATTCGTGTGAAGACAGTAGGGACTCCTGAACCACTGTGGTCGCTGGGTAGTACTTGCACAAATCAACACGAACACTCGTGACGGAAGAAGTTGTGGAGGGGTTCGGCAGAAGGAGGAAGGAGTTCGCGTCACGGAGGAGGAAGTTGACCTGCCTTCTTCCCCCGAATAGAACGTACGGTCATGTTCGCTGCATCTGGTCAGAAAGGTGAGCCAAATACGGCTCAAATGAGCGTACGTTGTATTCGGGGGAAGACAGTAGTTCCACAGTTGACCAGGTCAAAGTCAACCCGGTCGGAGTCGACTCCGTCTCCCGGGTAATTTTTTGTGGGTCGGTTGATGACAGTGATTGTAAATGGATGTCGACTTGATGTGCCAAGGCCTGAGACTTGGGACTGTCGACTTGATGTGCCAAAGCCTGAGACTTGGGACTGGTGAATGTCCCATCGATTACCGGTACTTAAGTTCCTACGGGACTTGCTCACTTGTGTTATGGTGGTGGTGGCGTGTACCGTAATGTGAGCAGTCGGGAGTCAACTCAGTTTGACCAGTTTGCGTAAAGTTTGACGAATGCACACACTCGATGCGTCAGATTACAAGCGCTGGATCGAGGAGTGCTCACTTAATTGATGTAAGACTGGTTGTGGAACGAGGATTTGTGTTGGGTGTAGATGTATTCGGCCCACCGTCTGGAGGCCGCGAGTCATCCTCACTGGCTACAGCCAGTCGCGATTTCTGGGGCGCTGATTCCTTACCGGACGCCGATTCATTGGGCTCGGACTCCTCGTCATAGGTGGTTGCCTTCGCCCGAAGAGCAGCAATCAGCGCTGGACCGAGGACCGGTTCGCGTGTATTCTCGGTGATGCTCTCAAGTCGGCTTTTCGCAGAGAAAGACGTTACTCTGCTCGTCAATGCGCTTGTCCTTTCTGTTGGCGACAAGTTCGCCGGAAATTTCTCGTCCACAAAGCGCTTTATCCGACTAATGCTGTTCCTTCTTGATGGGCTGGTTGAGAGGCTTGTTGGAGTCCTCATCGGAGAACTCGTTCCCGGACTCCCTGGACTTTTCGGGGTGTTGCTGCTCACCGACATTCCTTCTGGCAGATGAAGACCAGGCAAGGCCCTCCTGGGAGTGGCATCAACAGACCGGGATAGGCCACCATCGCTCCTGGGCCCATCATGGTTCACAAGGCCGTTAATCTCCAGGCGGAGGTTATGGGAGAAAGAAACTTTTTGCGACGGATCCACAGGACTATGGCCCAGTTCCATGGGACTATGACCCAGCCCCTTACCATCCTCTTGTCGATGTGTTGGTGTCCCCTTTGATAGCACCAGATGAGGTGTCGATGATATGGGGGAGCCACTGTCCACCCTTGAAGTGTGTGGCTTCACATTCGAGGAAAGGACAGCCGTGGATGTGTCGGCTTTGACCGACGATTCCGCGTTCCGAGCCATTGGATCCGCAGGTTGACCAGCACCACTCCTTGCGGTCCTTGCGGATTGATTCGTGCCGGTTCTGGGGCCGCTAGATGCTGGATCAGATGATGACGAGTTCGTTTGAGCGGCGCCAGGCTGCGACGGAGTCCCATGGACGCTGCTACCGGTCACTTTCTGTGGCTGCATTGCACCCGACTTGTTTGAATCTGCACCACTTGTTGCCGATCCCTCGGCCGTCTGACCTGTAGACCCCCCACTTATCCTCTCAGGTCCTTGTCTATCAGAAACAGAATTGCCTGGTTACCTCCCTTGATGAGAGCGCTTTGAGAATGTTTGCCCTTACTCCTGTTGGTGTTGTCGACGACATCCACCACCGAAGCTGATGACCACACAACGCATCCTCGCGGCCCATGGCCGTTCCCCGCACCCCTGTTTAAGATAGGAGTCTCCTTTCCTCGTCTGCGCGAAGGACCTCCGCCCATACTCACCACATCTGCCCCTCAAACCTATCAGCAACATGCCTGATGTTCCTGTCCTTACCGGTCTAAAGACCTTTTTTATTTTTTTAAAGACCCTTTTTTTTTTTTTCGGGAAATCCCGGTCCCAGCTGGCTAGGGGAGGGAGGTGGTGAGCGCACCTTCCTCTAGCAACCTGTCACTGGGTGCTCCACTGCAGCCCCAGTCTATTGGCGAGGACCAAAAAACTAATAGTGGCACTCGTCTACCGTCAGCCTTCCTTCCATATCCTCGAGACCCTTCTGCCTGTTCTATACCTGGTGGCTATTTCTAACCACCAGTCTTGTGGGGTTGAATTATTGAATATCAGCCCAGCTCCGTGCAGTGTACGGTTCCCTCACAGTTGGCACTCCTTTTCATTTAGTATGGCTGGCTGTCTTTCGAATTAAAAAAAAAAAAAATCAAAAAAAAACATTGAGTCTGACTACATGTATTAAAAAAAAAAAAAAAAAAAAAAAAAAAAAAAGAAAGGCTGGCTGGCTGTTCTTACGGAGAAATGCACCCAGGAAAGTCTCTGGTGTGAGTTAGCTTCCACTTCCACTCAGGCCTTCGCTCTAGGACTGACCCCTCTTGCTTTCAGACAGCTCTTGTTGAAACATGGGTCTGCAATTGCAGCTTTCCAAGTGGTGGTTCTAGAAATATGTGTCCTCTTCGGAAGTACCCTTCTCCAGAAGGTAAAACTTTGTCCCTGGTGTGGTCCCACGATCAACAATCTTCGTCTCCCGACGATCGTGTCCGATAAGAATGTAGACTGGTCGGATAAGGATGTAGACTGTGAGTCCCAATTCGTATAAGCAGTCCGAAAACCAGAAGCGATCTCCATCTGGACCGTTGCTCGGTCCATCACCAGATCCTAGGCCCTCAAAGCAACTTGGACGGATGGGATGTGCGTCAATCAAGGGTAGAGAGTACTTGAGAGTCCCGGACAAGGGTTTCCGCCAAAAGGTGCTCGGGCCCCACACAAGGTCTCAACCTTCAACATTTGCACCCCTTCACCGATTATCGTCAGTTCGTCAGCTCCACCTGAAAACCAGAAGCGATCTCCTTCTGGACCGTTTTTTTTGGCTCGGTGCATCACCAGATCCTAGGCCCTCAAAGCAACTTGGATAGGATGTGCGTCGATCAAGGGTAGAGAGTACTAGAGAGTCACGGACAGGGGTTTCCGCCAAAAGGCCCTCGCACCCCCCCCCTCCCGGCTCAACATTTGCACCCCTTCACCAATTATCGTCAGTTCCACCTGACATGCTCTGCCGGCGTGCCGTACATTGTGCGCATTCCATCCTTTGCCTTGCCTTCAGTCCTCTGCGGCATGCCTTCAGCAGTCCACCCGCCTTCATAGATTACATGATTTACGGCGGCGTATCTTCGCATGTTCTAGTGAAAGATTCGTTCTTGTTTTGCACATTCGGTAGGTAGTGTGGAACCACGATCGCACTTCTCTCAACCCATTGCATGCATCAGTCGCGGTACCGGTTTTGGGGAAAGTTGCGGGGTAACATCAGTTGGGTAAATAGTAAATACCCCAACTCCTTGTTGGGACATGGTCGCTCTCCTGGATTTATTTACCCAACTTGCAGCCTTTGAGACACAGGACGCCTTTTATATCATTGCTGCATTCATGTCCGGCGTGGGCACCATGAGGCTGTGCCTAAAAAAGGCAGCCTTTTTCATGGCAATCTGCCAGCACTGGTTTTAGGCCAACAAGATCATAGAAAATCTCGCGAAACTGAGCTGGTATTGCTCTGGACCCACTGTTGTTCCAGGTCCAAACTGAACCACCACTGTTCCAGACCCAAACTGAGCAGCGGGCACTGTTCCAGATCCAAGCTGAGCCGAGACCCAGACTTTTTTCCAGATCCAAACCGAGAAGCCACTGCTCAAGACCCGCGAACTAAGCGTCGTCACCGATCGATCCAGACCCAAACGTGTTCCGTACCCGGACTGTGCCGCCACTGTTCCAGTCCCAAACTTGTTCCCCCCTTCCAGACCCAAACCGAGCCGTCACTGTTCCAGGNCCAAACGTGTTCCGTACCCGGACTGTGCCGCCACTGTTCCAGTCCCAAACTTGTTCCCCCCTTCCAGACCCAAACCGAGCCGTCACTGTTCCAGGCGCAAACCTGTTTCAGACCTAAATTGAGCTGTCATTGCAGCAGACCCAAACTTGTTCCAGACCCAAACTGAGCCGCCACGGTTCCAGACCCAACCCTGCTCCACACCCAAACTTGATCCACATGCAAACTCGTTCCAGACCCAAACCGAGCTGCCACTGCTCCAGACCCAGACTTTTTTCTGGGCCCAAACCGAGAAGCCACCCCTTCTCCAGACCGGGCAGACCCGAACTATGAGCCGTCACCAATCGATTCAGACCCAAACTTGTTCCAGACCCAAACTGAGCCGCCACGGTTCCAGACCCAAAAACTTGTTCCTTTCGAGAACCAAACCCACCCGTCAGGGCCGTCACTGTTCCTGACCCAAACCTGTTCCCGATCTAAATTGAGCCCCCACTGCTCCAGACCCACACTCGTTCCAGACCCAAACTGATCCGCCACCGTTCCCGACCCAAACGTGCCCCACACCCAAACTTGTTCCGTATCCACAACTTGGTCCAGACCCGAACTGAGCCGCCGCCACTGCTACATGCCCGCCCAAACTTGTTCCTTACCCAAATGAAATGGAAGGGTAGATCACCAACTCCAGCACAATCAATGCCCCTCCTGTGTCGTATCAAACCAGACTTGGAACAGCCTCAGAGGCAACCTGAAACAAGTACCACCACCCTGTTTTGTCATGTCATAGGGCCTCGCCGCACCACTCTCGAAATGTGAAACAGTTGCAAAAAGACAAAAAATTGGCGGCCACATCTGGCCATGTTCTAGCAGGAAGTTAATTCTCAATTTGCACATTTCGAGAGTGGTGTGGCAACGCCCATCGATCTAGATCTAACTTCAACTGACCGTCGTGCCAATCATTGTTGTTACAAAGCCAGATCACAAAATCGTGGCGACACCAATGTTCATCAGGCACCTCATCTGTTCTGTTTTCCGAGCCCCCGACGTTAATTTTTATCCATTTGATTCCGCCAGGACTTGAACTCCTGATCTGTTTATCAACAGTTACATGTGTGTACCATTCACATTCAAAGTACCTGGTCTGAAAATAACCGAACCGTAACTTTTACTACGCAATCGACAATCCTTACCACAGTCAGTGCCGAAGCATTATTCCATTTTATTTTATTTTTTCGATTTTTATGCGTGTCATCCCTGAGTGTGCAGGGGCCATTTGCTAATTACCCTTCTCTGTTATCGTTCCAATTTTAACGGATGTCCCAAAGGACAGCATTATTCCATTTTCATTTTCAATTTCTCAATTTTCAACCTGGAGTTCGATCACAACTTTTAATCTTTTTTTTTTTTCCCTTTCTTTTACAACTTAGAGGCCCCAAATCCAAGGGTTGGTAGCCCCCCCCCCTCCCCCCCAAGGTGTCAATCGTCCAATCTCACCCGGTTTTGGTCGGTGAGGATGTGGGGTATTATTAACCCCCATGGGTTGGTACCGCCATTGTCTGCGGTCTGTAACTTAGTACCCAAGGTGCTTGCAATTCTCTAAAATCAAAGGCTCGAAGAGCGAGACTTTCGAGATTTTTCGGTTTTTTTTTTTTTTTTTTTTTTTTTTTTTTTTTTTTTTTTTTTTTTTTTTTTTTTTTTTTTTTTTTTTTTTTTTTTTTAAATTTTCAAATAAAAGCCCCCCCAAAAAAAAAAAAAAAAAAAAAAAAAAAAAAAGGTTAGTACCCAACAAGGTGTCCGTGTCACAATGATCCAAGCTGACATGCTTGGCAAGTGCTGGAGGCTCAGGATGACAGCAGCTGTATGGCATCCTCCTCGCTACCCTAGGTCTTGTGCCACTTGTGGGCTGGGTCTTATCAGCTTATATTTTGTCTCTTCTCTTTTTCTTTTTTTTTGGTTTAAGAAGAACAGCCCGAGGCGGTTATAGGGATGCTGATAAGAGCAGACACCACTATCACTCCCGGGAAGCCTCCGTCTATTGGTGGCGTCATTGATATGCATTTAGTACTCTGCACAAGGGAAGGGAAGGAGGAGTTGTTCAGAAGCGAGGAAGGGCAAAAGTTTGCTTCACAGGGTCGTCAGTACCCTCCACTGGAGCAGACTACGCAATCGATGGGCAATAACAGATGTAGGAGTACCTAGGGGTCAGACTACCGTCTTCAACCCAATTGAACGCCCGGTCATTATAGCCGTATTTGGTGCAATTTTCAGTCCACATACGGCTGTAATGACCGGGCGTTCTATTTGGGTGAAGACAGTAGATGGACCAGAATTTACGGACGCAATAAGTAAAACAACAGATGTAAGCAATGATCTCAATGGGAGCTGTCAAGAGAAAAAATTCAGTTTTAATTTTTTTTAACTTTTATTATCATCATGAACTGAAATTCTCGAGGACTCGAACATATCCACAATTTCAACAGCAGCTAGCTTGGAGGATACCAGGGAGGGAAACTGGGGAAAGTTATAT